AGTGCATTTGCTGGAGATGTTTCAGCTGACAACAGAAAAAAGTGTTTAAGCCATAAGGAGCTGTTCAACATGAAATGACTGTACATAGATGTCTCATTACAGCTGAGGTCAGGTTGTTTTGGCATGGCTGTCATCACAGAGCCTCTGTTGTAGAAGTAACAGGAAAATCATGGGAGGGAACAACATAAAAAGTACTGACTGCACTGATTTTTGGCAAATACTGGGCTGGTTTTACCATGTCAGACAATATTTGGCAAGCGGTCATGAGCAGCCTTCATATTTTCCTGTGTTCACAAATAACAAGCCCAGAGATTAACATGCTTACAGTTGTCTAGTATCAACAAATCAAAAGTGAAAACAAATAACACAGTTGAATGAGTCCTACTTCTTTCTATGCCAGCTGAGAAGTCACGCACAGAGCGCTTAGAAGCATCGGAGTGACATATGCCCACAGTACCGTTGTAACCCGGGAGCCCCTGACCGTCACAGGCTTCCAGCAATATGTCACGTCTGACCCAGCAACATTTAACTTTCAGTCTGYCTCGTTTCAAGCCTTTAGCAAGATATCAATTTAAATATCTGTATATCTTTATAGAGTAGGAAGTCTCATCAATGGCTCAGAAGATAAAAATCTATTTACAGCGATTGTCATAAGAAGTTTAGTGACACAAGCTAGTAGTTTGTTCATTATTTCTGAAAAAAAATATAAAAAAAAGGCTTTTTAATCTTAAAGGATTAATTCTCTGTACTTTTCAATAGGAAGATTTCACGGCTGTGCATTTCCTTCATTCTGACAAATGTTACCAGCAATGTGCATCTTTGCTGTAATTACTTTTGAAAGGAGAGCAGACATGCAAATTGCCGTTTCCTCTTAGTGGATTATCAAGGCTCAGCCTTGCTACATAATGAATGGAAAAGTTGCCTCTGGTTCTACAGTGTATCAAACAAGCTGGCCAAATCCAACTCACAATGAGGGCGATGGGTGTTTGGTGGAGGGCTGCAAGGTTTTCAAATATGTATTTTCTCATGCTCTTCTGCGTAATTCAGTTAAGGCGCTGCTCTGTTCATCTGTGTGGATTACCAGATCATTATCAATCATATTAGAATCTCAGCCAACATAGGGAACAAAGCAAAACCAATAAATAAATAAATAAATAAATAAAAATAAACACTACAAAAAAAATCCTTCTCTGATCAGTAGACAGACTGGGAGTGAGGTTCTTACCATTTTCCTAACTATTGGATAAGACACACCTATGAATCACACAGAACCACAGAATCATTAAGGTTGGAAGTGATCTCTAGGGATCATTGAGTCCAATCCCCTGCACACACAGGGTCACCTAGAGCAYGTGRCACAGGGTGGCGTCCAGGCGGGCTTTGAATTCCAGCAATATCATCTCAGAAAACCTTGGCATCCAACACAATATACTTTGAAGAACCTGGACAAAATGTACATCAGCTTTCTTTTTTATTGACATAATAAATTAGCTAAGACTGTCTTAAAAGGGACTTTCAGGTTAAAGTCACTGTTATGATAGGGAGACATTGTGCTTGGTAGCAGGACGTGGGCTGGAAATGGCCCTTGAGCCTTTCCCTAAGTCTGTGTTTGAGGAAGTGCAAAGATAAATCTCAAATCTGAAATTTATCCAATAYATATCTCTTTTATGCTTTAATACCACTCCTTTCTTGAGTGAAACTTAAAAGTGAAACCTTTTAATTCTTAACTCTTTAATTCTTCTCTAATCTTGTGTTCCGACTGCAATATATCAAATACATCAAACCATAGCCTCCCCTGTGATTTTCTTTTATAAAATGTCTCCCACAGGGAACTAAACTGCTGGTCCAGAGCGAGAACGCACATATGCTGCAATACTACAGCAAAGTACACCAAGTACTGAAGTACTTCATTGTACTTTGATTTCTTTTGGACCTTGGGTCTGCTAAGGGCTGAGATATATTAACTTGGCTAAATAAATGTCTTCTGGACTCGAGTTGCCACATCCAGCCAGCCTGGTATGGAACCTGTTCAAGTAGATATCCCAAAATTGATGTCACTGCGGTACTGAAGCACTTTCCAAGAAGGACCACATATAGGCTACCATCCCAAGCTCAGACAAAATAGTAACAACAAATATACATGTTAAAAATCAGTTGCTTTTATGTATTCAATCAAGGAGAGGCTCGCCTCTGTTTAATGATGATCTTCCAGATTTATTTTAAAAATATGTGTAAGGATAATGTATGAACTGAGCCAGCTAACAGTGTTCAACATTCAATGCAAACATTACAATGAGCGTTACAAATTAACATAGGCAATCACTACACCAGACCAGTGGAAAAGCTGCCTTTCACAACCATCCACTTCTGGGAAGGTTCCATCAGTCTTCTCCAAATCCATGCCAATTAAAAATAAAATAAATGTTTCATTAAAACTCCCAATGTGTTTGTTAAACAAGAACGAGAAACTGTACGATACATAATGATATGTAACTCAGCATGGCAACTTGCTCTAAGGGATTTGGCCTACAGYTGTAGGGCTGGCCCGTACCGTGTACGGCAAATGAAGATTGCATTGCTAGCGACCGCATAACAACATCCTCAGCAGCTTTTCATCCAAAAAAAAAACCTTTTTTTTTTTTTGTTCTCTCAGGACTTGGCCTCAACTACAACACATTTTGTAAATAGTAATTCAAAAACTGGGAATGTGATCATAGCCCAATCACTCAGAACTTTAGCAATGAAAATATGGAAGGCCATTGTATTAAAAAAAAATAGTTAAATAAAATGGCTTGTTTTGACAGAAATAGAAAACATGACTCAGATAGTGAAAAGAGCTCTTTGCCCTTTAAAATCTCACTCTTGCTCTCCCTCTTCCTCTACCAGAGGAGTCTTTCAGGGAGAGAGTCTGGTGATGCTGCATTATTGATGTGATACAGGTCTCCAGTGGAAACAGATGTGATATGTTTGGTTTTCTCTGATAGTCTGGGCTGAACACAAAGCAAATTACTGAACGTCAGAAGATTCAGGTTTGATGAGAGCATTCAAGGCACACCTCTAAAAGGAGTTCTTAAATAATAAATCTTAAATTTCAAGCCTGTTGAATAACAAAAAGTTATATATGTGCTAAAGGAAATGTGCCTCAAGTGATTTTGATGAGACAAAGCACAACGGAGATTAAAATGCATATGTGCTGCTTTAGGATTTGTTTGTTCTCAGACCAGACATTGTTAGCTGGAGTCAAAAACATCTAATAGCACACTTTGAAAGAAAACTGAATATTCACAGTGTCTCCTATGATTTTTTTCACCCAGTCCTTTATTTCTAATACCCTGCTTTAAGATTACCTCCTCTTTTCCTCCCCCCTGCTCAGTTTCTGGCTGGCAGTTGCACAAAGCACAGTGTTGGTCAAGCAGAGGTAGGAGAGGGCTACCTGAGCTCAGATTGGACCACACTTCAGCTTTGAGAGGGATCCAGGGCAGGTACAAAGAGGCAGGATCAGTGTATCCATCCTGGAAAACCATGCAACATATGTTAGGAGCAAAACAGCTACAGGAGTTTTCTGCATTTGCCGTGATTCCAGTTTCCAGCTGCCACCATGAGCTCATGGGCCTCTAGCAAGAYGTTGCTAAAGTGATCAACAATATTCGCTGACTGTAAATAAGATTTCTCTTATTTATGTGATGGGGCATGCTAGATGATTTCTCACTCATGATAGCTTCATATTGCTTCAATTTAATCAGAATTTTCACAAAGAAGCTCAGAGCAAAATATTATCTCCTCGCCTCTACTGAAAGTGTCAGCATTGCCAGGCTGACTCTCATATCTCAACTGTGACTTTCTTCTTTCTTCCTTTATTACTTTCTTCATCTTTTCATCTATTTCTTGTCTACCTTCCCAGCCACTTGTACAACTTGGGGAAAAGGAAGTCTTACTCTGACCATATTTGCTGTTTCCCTTTTCAAAAGCAGTGTGTTTTCATTTGAGACACATGCTGTCCCCTACACTGGGTTTAGCAAGCAAAGGCTGAGATCTAGCAATGAAGTCAGTGATAAATTATCGGTAGGGAACAGAGATGCCTCCTTCCTTGCACCCCATTGTTGACCTCCTAAAACGGAGATCCAGCAAAGCCCAGAAAGGATGGGGACTGGACAATGAAATGGGACCTCATAGAGCCCAAGAGAGCTCACAGGCACAAGACAACATCCCATGGAGAGTTACATCCAGAAGGGAAGGGAAGGGGTGCCACAGCTCCCTGACGGCCTCTCATACACTGGACCAGGGAGAGGCACCTGCAGGGAGTGCGTCCCCAGCTCCTTTCCTGTGCCCGAGAAGGAGCTGACGGGCAGAAACGGGAAGGAGCTGCCTGCCTCCCTCCTCCCCAAGGAGGACGGGAGAGGAGAAGGACAGAGCAACGCAGGGGATGGAGCCGTTGAGGGCTGTTGAGGGCGGGGCAGGGAGCGGCCGTTGAGGGCGGGGCGCAGCCGTTGAGGGCGGGGCAGGGAGCGGCCGTTGAGGGCGGGGCGCGGCCGTTGAGGGCGGGGCGTGGCTGCCGGCCGGACTCGGTGCCGTTGCTAGGAGACGGGAGCCGTGACACAGGGAAATTGCTGCAGGAGATGGACGCGCCCGCCGCC